AGACAGAGAGTCTGGACAATGTGCTGACCTCAGTAAGCCATTTCTAAATGTTTATTGTTCAGAGCAGCAAGAGAAGAGAGAAGGGGGGGACAGTAGCAGCTACTCGCTCTGTTTTCGCTCTGTGTTGTTCACTTTTTTAATGACACGGTGAGGAACAAATAATGTAAACAAAACTATTTATAATTCAGGCACTTTGAATAAATGTAAATAGAGTCTAAAAACCTATAAGATGCTTCGCATAATGGGAAGAATAAAATTATTAAAATAAGAGTCTGTCTGCTTCATCTCTTGATCAATTTGTATAAAATTCCCCTTGTGTTATAAAACCCAACTGCACCAAACTATTTGAAAGTGAAGCTGCCAGTTGCAGCTCACCAGTCAATGCCAAAGCACTACCAGACCTGCCAATCAGGCCTTTGAACTGGTGCCACTGGCCCCGGTTAACCTTTATTGTTGATTTATTTAGTCTTAGAGATATTTTAAAAATAGAAATAGCTACTGCCGTTCATAGCAAAACATAAAAATAAAAATAGAAACAGTTAAGTGGAGAGCTTTGCTTTTCTGGGATTTCAAGCTTTCCAACAATGTCAGCACCTTCTTGTTTCAAATCCAGCATTCATAGCGTTGATCCAGTTTGTGTCCATCATCAAAAGTAGGTCAGTTAGATTCCTGATCTGAGTCTTGACCAACTAAATTCTCACATCTGATTAACACACTGCACTTGTAATAATGTTAACAGTGTGTGTGTGTGTGTGTGTGTGGGGGGGACATGTAGTCACACACCTATGAGTCATACTGTAGTAATAAATAAATAGGATTTTAAATTTGATTCTGGATTTAACAGGGAGCCGCTGAGCAGAAGCCAATATGGGAGAACCTGGAAAGTTCATTCTGTTCAACTGGAGTTAGCATTTTTAGTGGGAGACCCACTCCCACCAGTTGGACAGAGTCAAATATCAGGGATTTGCTTACCTGGACGACTGTGACGACCATCAAGACCAATATGGGAGAAACATGCTATCTCTTCCTAGTTCCTGTCAGTACTCTGGTTGCAATACTTTGGATCAACTGGAAGCTTTTCAGATAGTTTTGAGCACAACCTAATAATAATGAATTTCAGTAGTGTGAGCTAGGTGTGAGTGTGGTTTAGTTAAGCAAGAGGTTGGATACACCCTGTACAGGTTGCTAGTCTATTACAGGGCTATACTGGTTTGATTAGTCTAATAATAGTAATAACTGTGAGATATCACTCGATCCATCCATTTTCTTCCATTTATCCAATTGAGGGTCATGTGGTGCAGGAGCCTATCCCAGCTGCTATAGGGTGAGAGCCGGGGTACATCCAGACACCATTATTTACTTTTCATAGTGTAATCACAAATTAACCCCAGCACATGTCTTTGGGGGAAAGCAGGAGTACCCGTAGAGAACCTCGGGGTGAACGTACCATCACAGAAAGACGGTGGATTCAAGCCTTCTTGGACCTTCTTGCTGTGAGGCAGTAGCCCTGATATCATTTGAAATCATAGAAAACATCACTTGGCTTTTGAGTGGATTCAGTGGTTTGCACAAGACTGTTGCTAATCCTCCACCTTTGTACCATGACTTTGAAAATCAAAGAAAACAGCCACATAAAGTATTTCACCGCTGAGCTGAATTTTTATGTGGGCCTATCTCATAATAGACCCACATGCCCGTGTGGAAAGCCACCCTCTCTTTTTTCCTCTAACATATAGATTTACCACAGAGGTGCATGTAGCGCAGTATAGCCGTGGGTCCTCTTTGTGTTTGCATGAATCACCGTGTGTCTGCGTGTTAACCCCTCTGTGGCTAAACAATGGAGTCCAAAGCAAAGTGCTGACATGAGTCCAGGCATGCCTGCCCCCCCCCCGGCCCCTGACACCCGTGGGTGTATATATACCCCCCGTCCACACTGCCTCCGCACACTGTTCAGTGGAACCCTGCGACACACAGCTCACCAGTTTGGGTAGGTCCAAGTTGTTAAAGTAGTTACCAATACAGCACAGTTTCCCAGTCTATGAATGTAATGTAGCCTAGGCCTCTAATGCAACAATCCAACTAACAACAGGTGGTCTTACGAGAACAGAAGGAGGCCAGTGTACCTTGTTTTATTACATTAACTATAATATGAGGAAGTTATTTTAAAACAACAAGTGAAAACAGCAAAGAAGAGTGAGCAGGAGGCTTGAAGTGGTGTGACAAACCTGGGCTTTAAATTTATGGCACAGCAAACAGTGAGCCACAGGTTTTGTGATTTTGACCTTCTCACATCATTTCCCGACTATTTATGTAATTTTACTCTGCAGGTACTGCTGAAAAAGAGGACAACATGGCTTTGACAAACCCCATGCCCATGGGCCCTTGGAAGGTAAGCATATGCTTTACACATCATGTTGCAGGGATGCAAGCAGCAGCACAAGTTTTTAGTTTATGTACAGTAATATCTGGTTCAGGCTGTACTCAGTTCACCCTCTTTGCTTTTTGCAGATCACTGTGTACGATCAGGAGTACTTCCAGGGCAGGCGTATGGAGTTTACTGCCAGCTGCCAGAACATCATGGAGTGTGGGATGGAGAACATCCGCTCCCTGAAGGTGGAGTGTGGCGCGTACGTATCCGATGAGCTTCCTTGCTCTTCTGGAAACTCTTAACTGTTTAAAGAAACTAAAACGGAGTGTCTTTCCTTCAGATTTTGGGTGGTTTAGATAGAAGGTGCGCTCATTATTCTTTTCATTTGTTTCTGGCTTCCAGCTGGGTGGGCTACGAGCACTCCAGCTTCTGCGGCCAACAGTTCGTCCTGGAGAAGGGAGACTACCCCCGCTTTGAGGCTTATAGTGGCAGCAACTCCTACCGCATTGAGAGAATGATCTCCTTCAGGCCCATCTGCTGTGCTGTAGGTTAACACAGCACACTATAACGGCCATTAGCTGACATCAGCTTATTCTCAATTTCTGCTGAGACTTCTTTTTTCTCTCTTTTGCACAGAACCACAAGGACTCCCGCATGATCATCTTTGAGATGGAGAACATGATGGGACGTCAGTTCGAGATGTGTGATGATTACCCCTCCCTGCAGGCCATGGGCTGGTTTAACAACGAAGTTGGATCCATGCAGATTCAGAGTGGCGCGTAAGTTCACGGTCACTTTAGATCACCTTCACACAGCTGAAAAACACACAGCCACTAGAAAGCATTGACTGCTTACCTGATTCAAGCGTGTGTCTGTGTGCGTGTTTTCCTGCAGCTTTGTGTGCTACCAGTACCCTGGCTACCGTGGCCACCAGTACATCATGGAGTGCGACTGTCGCGGAGGAGAGTACAAGTGTTACCGTGAATTTGGCTCCCACGCCCAGACTCCTCAGATTCAGTCCATCAGGAGGATCCAGCACTAAGAGGAGAGCGCTTTCTTTAAACCTCCTTATCGCTCCACTCTTTCTCCCTCTCCCTCCTTCCTGTGCTTCCATCCCTCCTTATCCTCCTCCTCCTGTACCGCAACCTCCATCTTCCAGCTAGTCAAAGCAGGATCTGGGACTGGACTTCAGGTGCTTACTGGCGTCAGTTGTGTCATAGCACTTTTTTTTTAAAAGAAACATCATAAAAGAAAAGAAAGATGTAAGAAAGACAGACAATAGGAATGACAGAAATGAGAGAAAAAAGCTGAATCAGTGTGAAAGAGAGATGTCATCTGGCGAGGCTGCAGAAATGCAAAAACAACACAGACTTTTTTGCTCTTTTTCACCACTGCTGGCATCATCATCATCATCATCATCGTCACTGTCTTCTACATCAACCAGACCACCAGTGCCGCTGTTACTGTGATATAATTACTGCCTGTGTTCAAGACGATGAATAAAGAGAATGAGCAAAAAGACAGAGAATCACAATGCTGACACATATCTCAGTTACATCTGTTTGTGCTTTTTGTTTTTTTTCTGATACACTTTAACTTTAAACCAGCCTGTAAAGCTGCATCATCTTATGGAGTGACTCCCCGAGCCAAAGATAGAGCTGCCAAAGTTTACATGAGGCTAAATATAAGAGGCTGAATTTTGGGTGAATGTGTATGAAATGGAGTGAAGCAATTTCCAATACAAAAACAAAGTGTGTAAAGCTCAAATAAACATGGCTTTAATGACCTGTTTAATACTACAGAAGTAGGCATTTTTATCTATTCTATAGCTGGTTAAATAAAAGTTTTGACAGAGTTAAAGTTAAACACCCACAGCAGCTGCAAACCCCCACATTACCTCTTCAATAGTCTAATTTAAGCACATATTGCTACCAATAAATCGGTATACCCAGTGGTTTATACTTCAACATGAAGATTTTAGAATTTTATTTATCTAAAATTCTGAATGTAGGATTTTCTACATTTTTAAAATTAGCTTTACCGTTACTGATGCCTACTCTATATCAAAACTAGTAATCTCTGAAAGCGACATACATCTTGAAACCACTAGAGGCCGCTGTGGGATAGAAAGACAAGTGCGACAACTGTATCTTCTTGACGGCTGATGATGACATGTCAACAACAAACATGGCAGGCAGCAATAACTACTGGGAAGGTAAATAATGGTGCTTTGTGTAATAAAAAAACCCCAAACAAACACACAAACAAACAGCTGCCACCATGTAAGGCTTTTGTTATCCAGGTCATACAAACTCAGCAGTTCAGAAACTTTATTTTATCCGCGGTTAGAAGGTGTTTTTAGCCGGTTTCGAGCTAATCTGTTAGCGTGTTAGCCTTCGTAGTTCAAAAGTCAGTAGTCAGACTTCAGCTTCCTCCTTTAAGCCAGCTTACGTGCTACCAGAGTTTGTAAACCTTTCTGTTTCATCCTCCGTTTACTGTTTATAGGCACGTAACAGGAAGATTTCAACCAAACAAGTCTTGCATCGTTAAGTGTAAACAAACAGGAAGTTAATAGTTGTTTACACATATATGGTCATTCATTGTTGACCACCAAATCAGTTACCTCGTTAATCGGATGAAGGCTTTCGTAATGTTATGGTTGCCAGTTATTATCTCCTTACATTTGGCTGAAATCAAAAGTGAGCCCAATTTTCTGTTTTGATGATCATAATATTATGAAAAACAGCTATTTTTATAATCATAAAAATAGTTTCTACCTGTACTGTGTAGTCTGTGGTTTATCAGCTTTTTGTGGATGTTTGTTGTAAACCAGTGGTTCTCAAACTTTTAAATCCAAGATCAAACTTTGGATCTCTGATACCATCTCAAACAGTAAAAGAGAATCAAAGTTTCTTTTCATTGGATAAAGGTCAGCACACTGTCAGCAGCAACCCATAATAATTCCGTGTAAAGGATGTTCTGTAATGTGTTATTGGTAAATGATAATTAAATTGTGCTATTTAAAATACACTTTACAGTGTAACACTAACCCTGCAACAATAATGTGAACTAAATAGTTTAATTTAACATGCTTCTGGTATCTTAAAACACCAGAGTTTCCGAGGCTTTATGCTTAATGCTTTCACTAACCAGTAGTCGGTGACCCTTTAAATCCTTCGGCAGATTGAAAGAATTTGTCCAGAATTTAACCAAACTTGAACGCAGTGATCATCTAATGGGTCTTCCACAAAATTGTGCTCAAGGCCAAGGTAACGTTTGTCCTTTTACAGACTCTTGTACATTTTCACGGCATAATGTTGTTCCACACTACTTCCAGTTTCACCAAATTCTCACTCTTGGTGTTGTGAACAGTATCCAGTTGTTCACTCAACCGTCTTTCTGTGCTTCACACTTTACAATAACCTGTAAATCATGATGGATCATGACCGAGATGGGCTTCTCCTTCACCGACACTCTGGGTTTACATAAAATGATCTGCCTGGGTCTTTCTATCCTTACTGGACTCCTGTAGATCTGGCATGATATTGAGGGTTGTCTAATTTATTTGTTTTCCATTTATTTTCTCCCCCCGTCAGATTTGCGTAAACAAGCCAGGCAGCTGGAGAATGAGCTTGACCTCAAGCTAGTCTCCTTCAGTAAGCTTTGCACCAGCTATACCAGCAGCAGCCCAGACCAGCGGATGAGAGACAGCAGGTTGGCAGCGCTTTCCCCTCTTCACTTTAAACATGTACCCTCTCTCAAAAGAAATCTTGTTGGATATTAAAAAAATCTTTGTGCTTTTAGAAGCTTTAGAACGTATAATTGTTGACTTATTGAATTTAAATTAAATTTTCTTTTTTACATTTTTGCTGAGCATCCTTTCTATTTCCGTCTGAAATCAGGTCTGACTCTCTGGGCTCATCTCATGACAACTCGCTTGTGGCCATGACGACTGAGCTGGACCAGCTCTTAGCCAATGTGAGTTAAATGTGGCACACGGTATGGTCACGTATAGGATGCCTTTAGTTGCAGACAATTGTGTTATTCGATGTTTTTAGAGTCAAACAGACTGTTAGGCCTGAAGCCTATTTGTTAAATAATTTTTTTCGAGTAGTCGAACATTTCAAATTATAATCCTGGGCTGTTTTGAAATCACATTATCTCTTAAAAGGTCGTCTGTGCTTCTGTGGCTACGTGATAAGAATTTAATCCTTTTTTGCAGCTTACAGCAGTCAATGACAAAATGGCAGAATGCACTAGCACCCCTGGAGCTTCGTCACACAACGCAGGATTGATGCACACCTTACAGAGGCACAGAGACATTTTACAGGTACATAGACTTCCTTCACTTTGTTGTAGGCTGTGCAATTAATAAAACTTTAATTTCATTTGCAGTTTTGCCGGACGGCACAGTGGTGTGGTGGTTCAGGGACGTTATTATTATAATTACTGTTTCACAATAATCACTTTTAGCCCTCCACACTTTAAATGTTATAATTAATTACGGTTGAACTTTGGGCAAATCCACATTCTAAAAACAATTTTTTCATGTCTTTGAGTGATCATATGATTAGTATTTTCCCCTCGGTCAAGGACAAAATCTTTCAGCTATTTATTGGAACATTCTGCGCACTTTGAAGATGCATTTATGAAATATGTACTGTATTTTGCCCCAATGTTTTCCAATCATGTTGTTTGCTAGTGATATCATGTCACACTGGCTGTTTATCGTGTTTTATTTTGCAGGACTACACTCATGAGTTTCACAAAATCAAAAGCAACTTTTATAGCCTGCGAGAGCGAGAGGACCTTCTGGGCTCAGTTCACAGAGACATCGAGTGAGTTCCCTTCCCTCTCTGATCAATAAAAGACTTCATGTTGTTAGAAAATACAACCGTGAGTGAAGCGTCAGTCACGCAGGCCTCGAGGCTGGTCAGCGAGGCCCTGGTAACCTTGCTAGATAAAACTGTGTATTGCCCAAAAGGTTGGCAAGTGTTTGTCAGCACTCACTTGGTGAAACTGGCAACAAAGAAATATATGGTGCTGCTGTGGTTGGCTGTAGTTTGTAAGAAAAATTCGACTTGCTCGCCAACCCTGTCTTCAAAGTCAAAGTTGTGCCTTTTGAAGTGGTTGCAGCAGTAAGGCACAACTTTTATTTTAAGTGCTTCACAATAAAATAAAAATAAAAAAACAGCTAATATTTAACTTTGAGGAGGTGGAGCCAAAGAATACTGTCAAATTTTTTAAGCTAATGGAAATTGATTATTGTAGGTTCTTCTTTTTAGCTCCAAGTGCAGCGCAAGTGTTGTGTAAAATTATTTATTGTGCTACTTTGTGAATAAATTTGGTGGCAAATGTAGTTTAGGCTTCTCATTGATATTGATGATAACTCTAATATTTAATATTAGAAGTTCTCTTATCTTTTTAGGTGTCATTTCTTTTATCTCCCATATGTCCCAAGATGTTACAAAAATGTGTTATTAAATCACTTGCTTACTCTCCTGCTTTACGTATGCAGAGTTTTCCTTTTCCTCCTGAATTCCTTCCATGCCTACTTTTTGTTGTCACCAAATCTAACATTTTCAGCTTTCCTTATTTTTGTCCCACTTTTCTGCTCTCTTCTCATCCCTCCTCCTCTCGTCCGATGTTATCCCTGACCAGCAGGAGGCAGAGATGTCTACTCAGTGTCTGGTTTCCCCTACCCTTTAATACTCTGCATTCCCGCTATCATATTTCATCCTCTAATAAGAGACACCTCTTATTAGCCATCTTCCCTCCTCTTCTCTGTATCTGTCTATGTCTCTCTCTTTCGCCGGGGATCTCTTTCCTAAGTGCCTTCTACAGTAAATCAAACCACAAGGCTTTCATTGAGCCAGAGCTGAGGGAGAGTGGTTACATCTGGCCTGCCTGATGCAGAGAAATGCTTTTTCACTAGAGGCGAGGAAGAGCAAGACAGTCAGACAGAGGGAATGAGACTTTCTCCTGATTTGACTTTGATTGATTACAAAAATGATGAGAGTGAATTTTAATTATTCCCACTGA